GTACACTTTTTTATTGTATTTTGTTTTACATCTAGCATTGAATTGTGTTCCTTAAACTGCCACAATCAATTGCTAAAAAACAATATTAACTCACAATCTACTTAGTATGGTGCCTATCCAACTTTAGCCCTGCAGTCTACCACCTATTGCTGAATGCCTGGGTTTGTACTGAACCCTTCGTCTCCAAGTGCACTTCCTACTACAGCAGTACACATTGGTCTCTGTTTGCTTTTCAATCTTTCTCTTCCGTTTCATCAGGAGTTTTTTTATGTGTTTGTGCTCTGAAACAAGCATGCAATTAACTGTTTTTAAATTGCCTTGTTCCGACTAACTTTTACACGGAGAGATGTGAAGCTACAGCAATATTGGAATCATCTTGCTTTTCTGTTCTAACAGTACAATTTGTAAAAGAGTCTATGGAGTGAATTAAATTGCTTTGAAACCATTTATTCCCTCATGAACTGCTGAAAAAAAGTAACATTTAAAGTATGAGGGAACTGCACACCCGAATTCTCAGTCCAGTCATTATCTGTAGGCAACATAATAAATTAATCAATGGTATCCAACATTTTACAAATTCCAAATTAAGCACAACATTGTGAACTTTGTGAAAGTACTGTATGGTCACCATGTCTCAATCCGCTGGTCTAGCCAAGGGCAAGAGCGAAAGTTCACGAGAATGTCCTTGTAATGTAGCGCAATGTACGAGCGAATGAGTACCGGTTGTGTGACACACATTTCACCACAGAAATGTTCCAGTGTGCATGTAGAATTAACGAATAGTGTTTGTCGTCAGAACCGTCTTGAAATCGAAAGTAGTATTTCTATTGGATTAAAAGAGTGTATTCACAAGCCAGTTTGTTTACAATGTAATTGGGCCGGTTCATGTCAACGGAAGTTTTGTTGCCTAGTTTTGAATCGGAGACAAAGACGGCAGTATGGCACAGCGCAAACCAGGAAATGTAGCTTATTCTGTGATGTAAATTAGAACTTTTAATGCGTCCATTGCTACAACCCGCAGTCTTTGGAGATCCATGCCAACTCTTGTTTGGCAGGTTATATTTTAAACAAATACCTAAATCTTACTTGTGATATCATATGTTATGGAGAATGTGTTAATAATAACCAGGATATCACGTGGTCATCATTATTTACAGGCACACTGCTCTGCATTGAAGTAAATTAAAATGAGGTGCATTAGATTCAAAACACGACGGGATTTTACTGATAGGGAGAATGGTTTGTGTAGTTAAAGCCAAATGAATGATGCATTTCTATGACGTGCTCTATGAACAAACGTACTATTGAAGATTTTGACATTTGTACATCTTGTAATCCACGTCGGTTGATATCAGTCAAAATGTGGAATGGCCATTTTCAGTGGTTTTAAAAGTGTATGAATTAATCATAAGGTTTTATTTAGTGGAATGTATAGCTGTCCATTCATTGTGATGCATTCCTGGCCTGTGGCTGTATATCTTAACTGTGTCTTGCAGCGGTGTTTTGGTATTGCATGTGGAACCATCACCTTTCAGTATAGGGCCGCTGGGAAATGTTTAAGAGATGGTTTACAGTTATTTAGTATGAAGCACTTTCTGCTGTGGCTGGAATGTACTGCAGCTGAAGAGCCTTTTTATTGCATGGGTTCAGTACAATCTCTGCTGTGATAATGCCTAACCGGCTTAACAGGCTGCAAGCCTCAGATTACAAAAGAAAACAATTTTTTTGTTTTTCAGAAGCACAGTTTTGGAGCAAAACACCCAACTTTAAGTAGATTTGATTTTTGTTTAAATAGACACAAATTACTGTGTTGGGTCCCTGTCTGTGTGTGCTTGTCTGTTTAAAGTCACCTGCCTTGGATCACTTCATTTGGAAAGATGTGTGGAGAGTAACATCTTTGTAGCCTTTTCCAATACTTTCTTACCATTCCCATCCAGGAGTCCTGGCAGCGCTGAACTCCATGAGAACACAGAGTACAATCTACACGAGAAGGTTTCCCCTTCAGTATAGAATCAAACCCAAGATAGGGGCAATAGCCACATGTTTTAATTTGCCTAGATATCTTGACTGCAATTTTTGAGTACTGAGGTAGTTTCCCGTTTAAATGAGCATGTTTTTTTTCTGGATCAGATACAATAAAAAATGGGTGCTTTTGACCTTGGCTCTTTTCATTCCGGACAGAAACTTCATAAATGCTTTGCTCATGAAATAGATGGACTGACGTCTGGACTTGAAACAGAGGTGCTCAAAGCTGACCTAGTCCCCCCGCTCTGATAATCCCAGTGGGATCATTTTAATAGCATTTTATAGATCATAACTATTTTTCCCCACAAGAATTATAAAATAGTTTAACAACGCCATTTATAAAAGTGAAGTCATTACGGTCATCTCAGAACTACCTGAACCCACTGAAACGATGATGCCACAACACACAAAAAAAAAGCTTTGGGAGATGTAAGCATCCGAACTATGACATGTAAAAATGAATCTTGCATGTGTTCTACTTGAGATTTTGAGAGTTGAGCAGAAAAGTAAAAAAAATGACCTCCCTTTCTATTTTTAAAAAATATATATTTTTCATAAACTATACAATAGTTTTGAAACCTCACACATGATAAAAAAAGATCAGAATCACCCCTGTATGTGTATCAATGATGAAGATATAGATGTCTAATGGTAGGTGAGTGTTTATTTGCAAAATGATTTGAAAAGTTGATTTATTTTAACAGCACTATATAAAATACATTTTTATTCCCCTGCAGAAAATTTTAATATAATGTTTTTCTTCTGAATGTTGCAATATAAAAACATCCTTGGAATTTTGCTTGTCTTTGTTTTTTTATAGTTAATGTTCAGATATCAATAATCCTCAAATAAGGACCTTAGATCTTTTTACTTCATTTGCAGGTGAATCCCATCTTACAAACAACAATTGATTTCCACCCTTATGTGCAGCACACAATGGTCATATTGGTCCTGATGTAACAATTAAGCATGAGTGTGATTGTTCTAATTGCACATCTGCAGTGTACAATCAGTCATTTAAAAGGCCAGGAATTGGAAGCTATTGGAAGATGGAAGGCTATCTTTATTTCGGAATACGGAGATTATACAGGTGCCACTGTATGTGTTCCATGCTGGTACATCCGCAGTCATGTAAGATGCAATTTATAAGGTTTTTATTTTCGGGGCAGACAAAAATATACTGTATATATAGGCTTCTGGGAAAGCAGATTACAGCTGTTAGTTACAGTACTGTCTCTTGGTTCCGTATGTTTGGCCTAGATGCTGCCCAATGTGAACCCTGTAATCAGATGAGTCATATTGCGTTTTGTCTTGTTGGATCTGGTAATGAACGCTAAGGAAGTTGTGATGGAATGATAAGTTTTGTTTACTCTGTATAAAAATGTGAACACACCGGGTCCGCTCAGTGTGGGGAAAAAGTTGCAGAATATTATTCCTTCACCACATCATTTTTAACTCTGAATGAGAAGAAAAAAGGTTCACCATTCTCCCTAAGCACTGTTGCTTTCTTTATTTCTCTTGCAGCCAGGGTGTGTGCAATACGCCCTGTGTCTGAGTTCAAGAGGCAGGTCATAGCTGAAACTGACAAGCCTCTAAACTGACTCACTAAATTGCGGTTAGCTCACATCTTGGACTGGGCGGGCTTCAGTCCTGACTAAAGCATAGACACTGAAAATTGCATTGAAAGGAGTTTGGTTGTATTAAACATTTTCAGCCTTTTATTTTGTGCAGTTTATGAAGTTTTGTCATTGAGTACGTGCTTTAAACTACTTGGTTTCCAAATAATTTCATTAGAAACCGCTTTTAGAAAGACCTTGTAGACTGTTCCTTGAAGACTATTTTTACCACCATTTTTAAATGGAATGGTTAAAGTAAAAGTTTAAATAGATTTGTTGTGGTATGCTAATTGTCTAATCTTACTCCGATTAATCATTGATAAGCCATATTTATGAAATGTATGTGCATTTTGCTCTTCGTATCCTTATGGAATGGTTTGGCATTAAATCAGTGGTAATAGTTGTTCTCTAATCTGCCAGTTTTATAGGGTGAATAACATGTCTGTAATGAAGCTGTTTGCCATAATCTTTGGTCATTATCTGATATTGAGAATCCATTACTCCAACATGCATCAAATGACGTTGTTGCTATGATACATTGACACAATATGTTTTACAAAGAAAGTGTTTAAAGAATGTCTGATTTGTAATGTGGTACACGTGGAAGGAATCTAAGCTTGCGTGATTGCCACATGAAAGAAATCACACCAAACCAAAGTTCATTTGCTCATTGCAACTCATTAACTTCTTTCCATTTTGGCTTGAAGTTTTTTAATCCCTGCTATGAAGGTTTCTTAGGTTACAAGCACAGTTGCCTCTCAGTGTGTAAAAATCACATTCCAGTGTTATTTTCTTCAACTAAGCTGTGGGAGTTCCCCTTATAAAACATATAAAAATAATCTTTCTACCATTGTATGAGGAGGACTTAATGACAATACCAAGGACGGAAAACTCAAAAGAAAATTTAGTTAAAAGATGTAGGCCTTATTTTGTCAGAATAAAAGGGCTCAGGTTGACCTATTTATCATAATTCTATAAAATGCTTTGATCAGATTGTCCGTGCAGTCAGTTGTACATCTCAGTGAAATGTTCTGGGTGCTGGTGGAGGTAATAGACATTCCATTGTGAAACAATGTTCGCTTGGTAAGCAAACAACTGGAACTGCTTAAGATCTTGATATCTTATAGATGTTTTTCTGCTGGAATATCTGCTATTGTTTTGGTGTCCTCATGTATGACTAAAATACTGTGACTCTTGCTGTATAAAAAGAGAGACACTGCTGTATTGAGTTTGAGCTACATTCAGAACTATTCTGTACTATGCATACAGTAAAGATCTGCTTTCCTGCTCACCTCAAAAACCTGATTGAGTGATTTCTGCAGCTGTTTAGTGAATCTCTGTTGTTTGTTTTCTGTGCAGAAATTCATCGAGTTTGAGGACTCCCAGGAGCAAGAGAAGAAGGATCTGCAGGGACGGGTGGAAACTCTGGAGTCGCAGTCCCGCCAGCTGGAACTCAAGGCCAAGAACTATGCTGATCAGAGTAAGTCTGCAAATTGAGAGCAGACGTTCCTTGCTCCCTCTTTCCCTCCTTCCCTCTGATGACATGTGACCCTCCTTTGTTGGTTGGTTGGTTGCTCCCTCTCTAACAATACGCTGCCTCTCACTGTTTTGTTTGCTCTGATGACACACGGGCCCTTGCTCTCTTTTCCTGGGACAACATGAGACCCGTCTCTCGCACCCTCTCCGTGATGGTACTCAGCCCCTACCTCTCTCTCATTCCCTCCCTAAGCCAGAAAGTCTCATTTTAGGTTTTGTTTCAGTGTAAAACAGTTTCAGTAATGGCTTTCTTCTTGCTTTCCAACCATAAAGTGCCGAGTTGTGGCGTCCTTGGGATATTTTTGTCACATGCACATTTACACCAGTCTCCATCATGTTGGTATGAATTTTTTCCCTCCAGATATAATGTTGTGTGTTTATGCCAAAACGTTCCACTTTTGTCTCATCTGTCCACAGAATATTGTTCCAGTGGAGTTGTGGAACATTCAGGTGGTCTTGGGGAAAAATTGAGACAGACAGCACTGTTTTTTTTTTTTCTGGAGAGCAGTGGTTTTCTCTGTATCCTCCCATGCACACCACTCTTTTTCCAGTGTTTTCTTATTGTGGACTCAAACTCAGACATTAGCCAGTGCAAGAGATGCTTGCAGATCCTTTGTCACCTCCTTGAGCACTGTACAGCTTGTTCTTGCAGTGATTTTTGTTAAACAAACACTCCTAGGGAGGTTAGTGTTGGTACTGAATTTCTTCCATTGCACGCTATCTGCTTGGCTGTAGACTGATGGAGGCCTAAGTCTTCAGAAATGCTTTGGTAACACTTTCCAGCCTTTGAAACCTCTTTTGATTGGTGCATGTTTCACTTCAACATTCTGTATCTGTATTGTTAAGAGCAGACTCTGTTGGTAACCAAGCTTTGTGGGGTCTTCATAGAGCAGGGCACCTCAAACTCACACCTGAATGTCATCTCATTGATGGGAACTCCTGCCTCCAATTACAATCTTTAATAGAGGTCATTATCCTAGAGGTTCTCGTACTTTTTCCAGCATAGACAGTGAATGTTTAGACAATGTTCAATATAAACAAAAAAAAGTACTATTGACAGTGCGTTATGTGTTTATTCACACACGTTTATTTGTCATTATTATTTAAACAAAGATCAGATCAGGCTTTGGGAGCAATTAATGCAGGAATGGTGGTGATTCCAAAGGGTTCCTAAACAATTTCTCACAATGTTTGTTTGTATCATGCTCTATATAATGTGTAGAAAACCTATACAGACGAAAGACCAAGGACATGTGACTGTTTTTTCCAGAAATCTCTTGTATGCAGCCGAAATACAAGTAAAGCCTTTGTTTTTTTGCTTATTGTGCATGTAATAAAGATGGTTATTATTTTATCAGATATTATGCGCCGCCCCCCCCCCCCATGTTTGTAGATAAATTGTTCTTTTACTTATTTAAAGCTACATCTGGCAAATAAAAGAGAATTTAATTGGATTATACCTGCAGGGCTGGTATCCTGCACCACATGATGGGTGTGTGACTACCTTCTTTTTTGCCAGAACAGCTTTGTGCACTAGGGTAGTTGTATAATGAAAAACCGGAACAGGAGGTGAGTCCAAGACATTTTTGTCAGGCTCAATTCACAATAATGTTTCTAAGTCCTGGGGGACAGGGCTGGGCTCATAGGAATGATCTGTGTCGCAGAACAAGTAGGGCACCTGCGTACCAGGCTACAGAATCAGAATGGCTATACTACTGCTCAGTCGGCCAAGCGTTCTAGTTATTTTTGCTCACACACAAGGAACAGAATGCTGGAACGTGTAAGAACTGTTTAGCTCTCATGCAAGAAAACTTTATTCACGTAATGTTACCTTTGCATGTAAATGAGTGACAGTCTTTCAAAACTAAGCTTGATGCTGTGAGAGAGTGCCTCAGTGTAGTGAAAACGTATGATGTCAGACTTTTTAGAATTTCCATTTGTTCTAATTTCTGTCCGAACACTTTTTCATATCTGGTCGCTGCTTTTATAGGAGTGACAGGACCATTTGATGTTGAGTTAGAGATCTGTGTTCAATGCATATTTAGGGCTGCAGACAGTAAGGTGTGAATTCTGGGGGGGAAAGAGGTGAAACTCCCTATTCTGAATTAAATGTGGCTTAACAGAGGAACTCCACAGAATAAAGTTTTTTAATCCATCACTCAGAGCTATCTGCACAACCTAGAATCTGCGTATGGACTAAATACAGTGAATTAATTCTGAAGAATTAGTTTATGCTTTCCTGTCCAATTCGTTATTATGAAGCTTTTTTTAAAATATCTCTTATATATATATACATCTTCTGAGAACTGTGTACAGGACTTAGAATCCACTCAGAAAGGGTCTGGTATCACTTGAAATCATCTTATTCCTAATGAAGAGGAGTTCCTGTTTCTCTTGCACTTTTAGTCATGAATAACAATAAGCACATTGTTTGTGTACCCTAGCATCACACAATTTCCATAGTTGGGCTCTGCATGGAGTGGGAGCATAAATAGATGTGATGATTTGTTCTGTTTCAAAATTGTGTGGCCTGCTGGAAATCAAGGGAACACTCATGAACACTTGCCCTATTAGCACCTCGGAAAGCTTGTGTGAGGTGGCCTGTTTTTATTTTGCTGAGGTATTGCGTCCTGTGCAAACTTGACCTTCCCCTCTATGGGGAGGAAAAGCCCAGTGTAAGACTCATCATACGATGCCGATGAACTGTCAGCAGAAGTGTTCTGTAAAGTGCAAATGAATGAGGCTGTGCTGCATTCTGAAGTCTTTGTGGCATTGCTGAACAAAATATTCCAGAGTCCAAAACAAGAAGATTAGACGTGTTTTACGGGAACTAGAGAAAAAGGAGATCGTTGTTGCTGTTTTAACAATTCTGAGAGGTTTTAAAATTCAGCCCCATTCCATACATTTTCTGTTCACTTTCTAGAAAGTCAGACAGCTGCAGTCAGGAGAGAAGTATATTTGTGTGCCAGCTGCCTGTAAATTAGTCTCCATTTGACAATCCTTACGCCATGCAAGCTGAGCCCCTCTAGGTTAAAGCCCTTATTTTGCTTTTAACTTACCCAAGGCCCTCAATGATAGTGTTGCCTAAGTATGCTGTATATATTTGCTGAAGATGTATTTTCAAGATTTCTTTATTTTGATGGTTTTCCCTAGTTGTTTAGTTCGTTCTGGCTCTGGAAAAAATGTAACGTGATTGATTATCAGTTTAAGAATACAGAGTCAGTCCAGAATCATTCCCACCATCACAAATAAATAAATTTTGTGGCAAACAGATTTTTTTTGTTTAGACCAATGTGCTCTCGAAATAAAACCAAAAGTGAAGAGTGAAGAATGTGCCCAGTGCTGCTTTTGTGCCAAGTTAACGTTAACAGTGTAGAACGGATTGCTTTGTGCCAATGAGTTAATTTGGTTTATGTTTAGGAGGCAGATGTTGTAACGCCTGCTAAGCTCAGTTTAAACCTGAGAGTTAATAGAGGGATTACTGTGTTTAGCCACCCTTTAGTCAAGCCCATTGAAACTGAGTTGGGAGATTACCGATTCCTGTGTTTTGTTAGAACTGCGAGTCTGTTCCCTTTTAAATGAGTCCCCCTTGTGGCCATATCTATGAGCTGCTATAATACAATTTCCTCTGATCAGTACAAGTACTGTGTCTTAGTTTTGTTATTAGATCTATACACACACAACAAGCTGCATTATCTAATGTAGTGCTGAACATAGGGTTAAGGACAGTCTTTTACCACCCATATCAGTCTATTTTAATCTTTTGTTCACAAAAAAGTGTTAGTGTGTGACCAGATTTCTCAAATAATAAAAGGGCTGTATCACTAAAGCATTTCTTCACAAGCCAACAGCACAGTCTATTATAGGTAAGTAGTACTAAGCTTATGATTTCATCTAGTAGGGTTCTCAGGTCTGATTTTAGACGTTTTTCAGTTTGCCTTTGTGTTCTGGTAGCATAAACTGAAGTTATATATATTTTGTTTAAACTACTCCTGCCAGTAGAATGGATTTTTTTTTTTTGCAGGGCCAGTCTTTAGCCTGTCTAATAGCTAATAACTGACTAGAATGTGAATTGTTGTATGCTAAAATACAATAATGCAATAAGTAGCTGTAGAAATATACTTTTGACTGTGTCTTAGTTAATAAATAAACCCAATTCTGAAGCACACAGGCAGGAGGTGTTCATAAACTCCCTAAGAGCAAGGTTGACACAGTCCAGGGTTAGTGGTTGGCACACTTCACTGAGCCAAGTCCAGGAGGGGAAACCAGGGACAGGGCAGGGCAGGTTGGCCTGCACCTGGAGCCAGGCAAGACAGGTCACAAGAGCTCTGGGCAGTCCACCAGGTTGCGCATCAGTACTGGGCTGATTGGTGTGTGTGCTCTTCATGGGGGTGGGGGCGTCTCCTCCAGAGACCAGGCCAAGCACTCGCTGTCAGGATGGACTGGGGAGGCATGCCAGGGACCTCTTGCAGACTGGTTTCTCATTGCACTGGGGTGCTATACGTATATTGTCTTCTCAGCAACTCTTTCAAGGCAGGCAGGAGCCAGGAGGGGTGGCCTGCAGCCACTACAGCTGCAAATGCCCCTCAGAATCGATGCGGGTGGTCATAACAGTTTGCAATTGTTTTCCCAATTTTGGGCTCCTGAGCCGACAGAGTAGTCCCTGTACTCATGCATGAACTAAAAATACTAAAAAGTGTAAAATCATGTTACTCTTCCAAGCTTTTACATTCACTTAACAGTATCATATCCGTAAAGCCACTGTTTTCCGTCATTCTGATTTGCCAGATATTTGTTGTATCATGGCATCCTCCACACATGAACAAGTAATAAGTTTATTACTTAAACTTACAAGCACGTCAGTCGTGTTCCAGGTTTCTGTCCCTGCTTTCCCTCATTCCATATTTGTCAGCTAATGCTTTTTTTCCCCTGGTATTCTTTCATTTTAAGTTGATAGTGGATGCACATGTCATCAAGCTCTTAATTTTGTGGTCTTCACTATTGACAATGTTTTCCTTCTGGTGAGGTACTGTAACTGTTTCTGCAAACTCTACTGGCCATTCATGGGTTTCTCAGCTCCCTCCTCTACTTTCTAATGTTACAGCTAGATCAGCTGTTCAGTTACAATTTCCATTACTGTTTGTTTTTTTTAGTTCTGCGCAGGATTTGTCTGATCTTCGTCTACATTGTATTTCTATATAGTTCTTCAGTGTGCTGTTGGTTCCTGACTTTCACTGGCTCACCCTTGCCTTTACCTGATGTGCTGCTGCTGCTGTTTTTTCACTTTAATGTCTTTTTTGATACAAAACTCTCCATGTCACATTCTTCTTTCTTTCAGATCTTCCTAGCTCTGTCATTTTCTGTCTGGAGCTGAATCGTCCATATGCTTGCCTCCCGCTGTAGTTTTAAATAGTTTCTATTTTCTTCCATTTTTCTTTTCACCATTTCCTCAGTTAGCCAGGTCTTCTCAGCTTCCTTACACTTAATCTCACTGCTTGTTAAAGTGTTTGCTTTTAACTGTCAGCTGCTTGGAGGAGAGATGAATTTAAAACAAGAATCAATACAGCAAAAAAAATGCAGGGATGAAACTGAGGAATAAGAAAATTCAGACACCATGCAAGCGTGTTGACAAGGTGACAGATGTGCAGTTGCTATTGAATCATGGATCGTAATAGGGAAACACAATTCCACAAGATGTTTAGAGCTGAAATAAGCCTGGTCAGGGTGCTCATGAGGAGCATGGCTTTGATAGTGGACTCACAGGGACAGAAGGAAGATGTGAGGTAGGAGGGTTTTAAAATTGGCATAGAGAAGGGTTTCCACTGAGCCTCTCCCACTCTGTGGCACTCAGTTCATTGTATCTTTCATGCCTGGAGGCAGTTTCATAATGTAGGAATCTTGTTGCACCAAAAATGAGTTTGCAGTGTTCAGAGCCTGGTCAATTCTAATGGCGTTTTCCTCTTCCAGTCGGCAGACTGGAGGAACGGGAGGCAGAACTGAAGAAAGAGTATAACGCTCTTCATCAGAGACACACCGAGGTAAGAGATGGAGGATGATTTTCTTTTGTGTGAAGGATATTGAGGGAGCAAACGTCTTAACATGAATGGGTCACTTCTGGGCCTATCTGGTAAAAGGTCCATATTCTCAAATTTTTGAATTTATTGGTTTTAATTTATATAGTAACCTTTTTGCTGAGAGCACCCTCTCAATGAGCTTTGTGAATAAGCAGTCCTAGAGGAAGGTACAACAAATAACTAAAATCGAATTAAGATGTTCAAACAAATTGAATGTACTCAGGTTTAAATGCTTTGTGCAGAAATGACTTTGAGATATTAAAAATATGTTTGGGAACATCAGACAAGAAAAGAGAAGAAAAAAGGGATTATGAGAATAAGAGAAAACAAATACTGCGGTCTTTCAAGGAAATAATAATAATAATAATAATTGCTTACACTTATATAGTGCTTTTCTGGACACTCCACTCAAAGCGCTTTACAGGTAATGGGGACTCCCCTCCACCACCACCAACGTGCAGCCCCACCTGGATGATGTGACGGCAGCCATAGTGCGCCAGAACGCTCACCACACATCCGCTATCAGTGTGGAGGAGAGCAGAGTGATGAAGCCAATTCATAGATGGGGATTATTAGGAGGCCATGATTGATGAGGGCCAATGGGAAATTTGGCCAGGATGCCGGGGTACCCGGAGAAGTATCAGCCAGGAAGTGTGCAGGTTTGATGCAGGTTGTCACTTTTCTACATACCAGCAACTTTAGAGTAGAATAGATCCACAGTCTGTCACATGGAGCTAAACAGCATGGAAAGCCAAACTGAGCTGTATTATGTTCTTGGGCCTTTAAAGTTAGGGGTGGAAGACGGCTCAGGAAATGGATAAGACAGCCATTGCCTTTGCATCATGATTCATTCCAGATTTTACCTGCTGCTGATTCTCTCCTAAACCCATTTCAGTTTGTTTATTTCAAATGCATGTACCAATCCATGCAAAATTTCCGAAAATGAAATTTCCAGCATTTTTTATCACTTATATTTAAGGGCCTTTCTACATCTTGAATGTGTGTGAACTTGCAGCAACTGCACTGAACGTCTTCTTGTTCCGTTGAAGATGAGTTGAATTAGGAATAGAATAAGAGGCTGTAAAATAGACTACAAAAGCAAAAGATGAAATTATGAGGTAGGCAGAGTCTTTTGCTCTCCAAAACTATCCACAGAATGTTTTTTTTTTTCCCCTGGCTATTCTTCATAATGAGGACAGCCTTTTCAGATTAAAAACAAAAGGCAATTTTAGCCTGCAGAAATAAGGAGTAAGCCATATACGTGTTCCGGCATCCATAATGAATGTTGTGGTGGGTGCATGCCAGTTTTTTCTGTCTATGAAGCAATGAAACCTCGGTCTGCATTGTCACTAAAGCCCAGTAGATGGCAGTCAAGCACAGAGGATTAACGAAGAGCTTTTCTGTTGGCATCCATAATTGATTTCTGTATTATCTGAGGACATTAAGCTGTGCATCAAATTCATCCCTTCAGTCTAATACTCTCCTAGACTAATATGATAGTCTTCTGGATTAGTTAGTAGAAACTGCCTTGTGAAAGACAGTGGGTGTTCATGGAGCTCTGCTCTTCACTGCAAGGGATTGAAAGGCTAGATTGTACAGTAGCTGAGCTGTCGCCAGGGGAAATGAGTGGCCCATTTTTCTATTCTTTTTTTCCCCCTGTTTTGCTCCATCATCAATTTCTGTGCAATCCCATTCGACCAGCAATGCCAAGGTGCCCACACCCATCTCCTGAACCTGTACACTTGTGTTGAAGAGGCTGTAAATGGGCACTGCAGTATGGTCATTTTTAAAAACGAATCCAGCTGCCTGCCTGCCTGCCTGCCTCTTTCTGAGTCAGCCCAGTTCTATTTATAGCTGGTTCTCACTTGGGGCTGTCAGATGGTGCCAAAAATCAAAAGGAACAAAGGGAAATCGAAGCAGATCATGCACTTTGCTTGATATATAGGGTGTGATGGGCCAAGCAGCCCCAGGCAAGCAGCTCTGGTTTCTGTTCTTGTCAGTAGCCATATGCAGGCATTTGGACCATCACTGCAGGTACCCTGTCATCAAAGGCTGAAGGACAACATTCATTTCACAACTGCAGTCTTGTTGTGTGTGTTAAAATTTCACAAGGAACACAAACAGTTCACAATGTTTGCCTCAGTGTTCAAGTCAGAGCCTCTGAAATGATAATACTGTAAGTTTTACAGTACTCCGACCTTTTGAGCATGAACAGTGAAACAAAAGCCATAGGAAGTGCATTTACAGAGTACAGGAGCCACATCTTTACCCAAAGGGTTGTGGGAGTGTGGAACAAGCTACGGGGCCATGTTGAAGCCAATGCCCTGGTTTCTTCCAAGAAACGGTTTGATAAGATCCTTGAATCAGTTAACAACTAACTACCAAATGGGCTAGATGAGACACAATACACTCCTCTTGGTTAATTTTCTTATGCTGAGCAATTTCTGCTTCCTTAAGTCAGGTGAATCAGCTCCTTTCAGTTCTTTTCACAATTTTAGATTAATCATTACAAATTCTTGAAGGTGGTGTTCAAAATGAAGAGTTTTATTACCATAGGGTGTGTCATTTTCCTCCATCTCACAAAACGCCTTCTGAATAACCACAGTTTTTTACTATAATTAAAATCATTAAAGCCTTTGTACCTCGACATGGGGGTGGGATGTAAACCGTTTCCCATAGTGCCAATAGAAGAGGTAACAATTTCAGGAGTGACTGGACACTCAAGCCCCTGGAAAGTCACTGGACAGCACAGCAGCGATACCCTGGCCGGCTCAGATCCTCCCAGTTACACAAAGCTCAGCCAGTTGTGCTCTTGTGCTTGTAGAATTCTGTATGCTTAGAATGAACAAGATTGCTTAGAGTGATTTGCTCATGTCAGGATTGTCGATCCTACTGTGCTAAATAAGCCATTCAAGGGCCTCACGCTGGAATTTTGATAATCTGTTTTTGTGCAGTATGCTTATGAGTCGCACGTGAAACGGATGTAATGACTCTTAACAGCAACATTACCATCATCTGGCCTCAACTCATCAGATCTCAGAACCTCAGCAAAGCTGGGGGTCTGTACTGGGATGGGAGACCTCCAAGGAAAACCAGGTTGCTGCTGTAAGTGGTGTTGGTAGAGCTCTCCACTCTGGTCCTCAATTTTCAAACCAGAGTTCTATTACGGTGAACAAGGACACAGTGCTGTAGGTAGTGCTGTCCTTCAGGTATTTTGTTAAACCAAGATCATTCCTAAGTGGTCATAAAAGATCCCATTGTGTTATTTGGAAGTGTATAAGGTGTTAATCCAAGTATCATGGCTGAATTCCACAAAGTACTGACCTACCTACAGTTCCCCTTAATTGGCTGCTGGGGCAGAATAATACATTTATCCAGGTTGATGCTGTGCTACAGTGACATTTGATTAAATTTGGTTCCCTCTTGTATATAAAGTCTCTTGGGGGTAAAAAGCACGTATTACAATCATTTATTATAAATGTGTTAATAGCAAATTAAAATCTAAGATTTGTCAATGGAGAAGCATTCCAAACTTGCAAGAAAAATGTTCACCAAATCTGAAAAGAAGAATAAATCCCAACACTACTAGCTGGACTCTTTTGAAAGTGAGATAGCTTGGCATGTCTGCTGTTCAGTCTGTGATTGATCAAATGTTTTTGCTTCTCTTTTTTTAATTAAGATGATCCACAACTACATGGAGCACTTGGAACGCACCAAATTTCAACAGCTTACAGGAGGGGATCCATCTGAAACTGGCACCCTTGGCAGGGTTAGGTAAGTCACAAGACTTTTCACATTTACTAGTACAGTATTCTCTTATCTGTGTGGTTTGGAGTCCCTGACTTAAATTCAGCCTCAATGGTGCAAGAAATAATCAGTGAGCAGGGAAGAAAACATGGGCTAGCTTGATGCCAGAGCAGCCTGCTCACTGTTGGTTTAAACATCACTTCCTTGCTGAGCAGAGGCATGTAGTTAGAACTCTGGGCTGATAATTGGGAGTTTGTGGGTTCAAACCCTGGGTGAGGTACTGCTGTTTTTACCCCCGAGCAAGCTGCTTCAGTAAAATGTCCAGCTGTAAAAATGGATGTAGAATGTAAGTGGATAAGTGTTTAAATTCATAATAAAAAGCAATGTATTCCTGAAATAGTAATTTAATTTGTGGTTTTATCCATTTCCATGCTTTGGGTTGGAGTTTACTGTAATAATCTCTACAGTCCCTTACTGCAACATTGATACACTTGCTGTTCCCTTTGTTACAGTGTCTAAGTATAAGGACAATAATAGTATTATTACAGTAAAGAGAAAATGTGTGATATAAAGTCATGACGTTCTGTATGTTTGTTGCTGTTTCCCGAGTCTAGATGGAAATCTGCTGATGAATCCCCATCCTGTTGTCGGTACCACAGTCTGCTCAGTAATGTTTTTGCTCACATGATGCACTAATACCAGAGTGACACTTGCCTGTGTCCTCAGCCATTAAGAAAGCAAAAGTATAAGAGGTTAAAAAGAGCTTCTGAATTCTGACAAGAAAATCAGGGTTCCAGCAGCCACATGTGGAACCCATTTCCTGTTCCATGCTGAAGTTGTGCTTGTTCATTGAGAAAATGACCTTTGACTTATCCTTCTAAATGTGAAGGATTTAGAATCGTAGGGTGATGCATGAAGCCTCTTTTCCCTAGATGTCAGGGCGAAATGTGAGATGAGCATCCTGTTCAACTCAAATTAAAGAGATGCAACTCCCACTTTTACTCAAGTGGTTGGCAGTTGCTAAATGAGCCAGTTATTCTGTGCCCTCAGGGATGTGCAGACTACTCCTAATAACGATCTAATGGAGCTGATTTGCATTATTGTCTTGATTGTCTAAATGGGTATATTCTAAGCAATTAGTTGTGTGAGATATTTTGGTACTGCCCGAGCCTCATTAAAGAACATACTGTTCATTGTTAATAAATGATTAATGTCAGTTAAATTAATTGTCAGTTTAATGACATTGATTATTGATTGAATAATTCGATTATTGATCACCTTTCCATGAATTGACTAGCTCATTGCAGAGATCGAGTAGGCTACTGAATCGGTTTTTAATTCACAATGCATCCCCTTCTCTTGTATACCTCTATATAAATCAGGCAGATTTTGCTACATTTCTGTTTTTAGAAAAAAAAACATTTTGAGTGTGTGTGGTATTCACTTGCGAACAGAAAAGCAGTGCTGTGGATGCTGAGAGAAATGATCTCCCTCGGGATAAAGCTGTGATGTCACAGTCAGATTAAATATATACAATGAAAAGAATGTTTTGTTAAAGTTTAATCCCTGGTGCTTGTTCCCTCAATTGTTTTATATGTTCCTACAATAGAAAATACAATATATATTTCATGTTTTTTGTTTTTTGTGGATCTGCATGTGTGAAACGAGTCTTTAGCCTCAACGCAGTTCATTAGCTGTAAAGTTTGTGCTTTCTACTAGTGGTCAAACGAAAGCCCTCCAATAACTAAAATGTTTTTTTCCTCATTCCTCTACAGTACATGTATAAATATAAGCATCCCATGTGACTCAGTTTCACTATGCATGGTGCACAAGGTCAGGCAGTCAGCTGGGTGCTGGGTGTTGCATTTTAATTACTGTAAAACAAAAAAAGAATTGTTTTAGCTGGACTTGTGCAGGCTGAATGCATAATGCATACTGAGTACACCTGAAGTGTTTGAGAAGGTTGGCAAGTTTGAGGTTTCTTCATCCATCAGCAGGCAAACATGTTTGTATTTCTGTACTTTTGAGGCTGTCCTACTGCCTCCCGCTCTGTTTATATTTACAGTCTTGTACTTCACTAGACCTCCTCACTTGTCCTCACAACACCTGTTTCTCAGGAGTTAGGATCCTTGTGAGAAAATAATCTTAGTATCTTTCTCCAGTTGGGCCAAAGTTGTAGCTACACAAACCAATCAACTTTGTGAGGAGAGAAATGTGCCTCCTGACTTTATCCAGTAGTATACATATTGGTCAATTAGCAGTGTAACCCAGAGCTACAGCTTTTTTTGAACACTAAAAAACAGACATTTTAGAAGAAATTCTTGGTCCCAAGCTGACAGCAATAGCTTACCAATGTCGAATCGCATCCTAATACAAATTGCAATTTTTCTTTCGGAATTTGTTAGCTCACCTGTAATTTTACCTTTCTGATGAAACAATTGTATATTCTTAATTTAGTGTTTTAATTGTGGTAATGGCATCTCAACATGGCGGTCTTAGGATTCGTTTGGTATATACTGAAATGGGAATTTAGTATCTGGTATTTCCATGAGAAGTTTTGGGTAGTTGCTGCTGGCTTTTTGATAACGGTATAATAGCACTGAAAAGCAGCCTTTTCTTACCTTGAAGTGTCTAATTTGGAAAAGCCAGTTTCTTTTATTGTTATAGTGCTTCACCTCTGGTGAGGCTCCAGCCCAGTTTTCAGAAGTAGAAATCGTCAGAAGATTTGTATCATTTCCCTTGAGCCCAATGCATAGATCAGCTGCCACAGACTATGAGACTCTGTGCTTCCCACTTGTTTGTTTTCTTTCCGCTTTCAGTCAGCCAATAAGCTGAGCCTCTGAGGGAAGCTAAATATTTAATTAGCCCTCTTTGTGCCATTGCTGCATTGATGCTGAGGAGAGAGAGGAGGGGAGACAGCCCGCTCCATGCTGCTTCGCAGAGAGGTGATGTCACTGCTTACAGTCTGCTGCAGAGCGGAGCTGCTCAGAGCCCGGCTCTCTGGCTGCCTGTGCTGCTGATGGCATTGTTTCTGTGGCAGCGTGACCTCCCCGGGGAGCTAGAATACACCCACCTGGCCTGCCCCCCAGAGCAGCCCTTCTCAGCGCTGACGCTCCACAATGCCAGGCCGGAGCCATGAGTCCTGGCTGCATGCTGCTCTTTGTGTTTGGCTTTGTTGGCGGGGCGGTGGTCATTAATTCCGCGATCCTGGTGTCTCTCTCCGTCCTGCTGCTCGTGCACTATTCAGTTTCAACCGGCCTGCCGGCTCTGACGCAGACCCTGCCAAGGATAATCAGGTACCTGCTGCGATCGGATCTGTATGTCCCTGTCCTCCTCCTTTCTCGATTCCTTCCCGGCTCCCGTCTGTGGTTCTTTCCTCCTTCGTCTGTCAGCGGGTGTCAGGTGTGTTTGCTTAAAATCGCCAAGTTGGTAGCGTTGTACTTTGTTTCGGCTCGAGTTCAGGAGCCTTGTTCACGACTGGGTGGACTAGAGGTTTTCAAAGGCAAATAAAAGACTAAATCCTTCTCTCTGCCGTGTTTTCTTGTTTCCGATTGCTTCTCATCTTTCATGTTTCATTGCTTTACTAAGCACAGGGTTCAGAGAGCACTTGGGAATAGTTAAGGATGAGAACTTGCGCTTAAAACTGTTTAAAATGGCTCCTTGCTTACTACTGTTTTTCAATAGATCAATACTTGCAGCATTTATAGCGAGTTGGAAGGTTAAACTCTCCCCCACCAGCCCCCATGCGAAGCTGAACACCGAAGCAGTGTTTTAATAAAAGCCTTTTTGTCATCTGCTGAATAGCAAAGCCTTTTCAACAATATAATGTTGCTGTGTGGGCCATTGTTAGCAAGAGGCATCGAAGCTTTTCTTTTTCCTGTGAGTGTATTAAGACACTGCTATTTTAAACGGGCAGTGTATGTTTTTTACAGGGTTACATTTTGCGTTTGACAGGCTGCTCACTAACTTTTACAAGTTTCACTTAATTTCTTTGCTCCAATTTTTCCTTATTGCTGTTCTCATTATGTCTCCGTAGCCAATTTTTCTTAAGTTTTTTAGTATGGAAATACTTAAAGCAGTAGAAGTGTTTCTGAAATTTAGAAGAAGCTCTGTGGCCTAGTTTATCCCATTAAGTTTCTAAACTAAAAAAACTAAAAAAAAATGGATTTAAGCCGGAATGTATGGAATATCTGTTCAATGTGCTGAAAATGAGTATATTTCAAGTATGTTGTGTTTGAGATGGTTTCTCTTGATTTATAAAAGAGCTGTATGGGAGTCCATGCAGTTTTTGTGTTACCATCTCTTCAAAAATAATTGCAGTGTGAAGGCAAGTGTTTTACCTAGTGAATTCATAGCCCAATGTACCACGCTCTCAACTCCTGCGCAAAATCATATTTTTACTTTATCTGATGTTAACAGCAAAACCATTGATGTGTTCTACAGTAAAATCAATAAAATGAACTGTAAAGTCTTTGTAGTCATTTTACTTTAGCGTTTTTCTTGAATTCCTATATTTAGGAAAAAAGCTCATATGAGCTGCAGTCATGTCTTCAAAACCACTGGAGCAGTTTCTACTATATAATGTTTAGAATAGCCTACTTCTATGTATCTTCAATTTTATTACAATTATAGCTGTGATTATTCCCTCAGTGAAGCTTATTATTGTGCAGATGAATGCTAAAGCAGGTTTTGAAAAAGATGGTTGCAGTTCAATGATTGAAAAAATTAGGCAAAACTGCTGCTTTTGTCATTAGAGACACTGTAATCTGGCTGTGTTTACTTAGGACCTGAAACCAGGATTAATTCACACTTATGAGCTAAAGGCTATTGATAAACCTGTCCAGTAACTATAGTCACTTAACAGGTCAGGGACTAGTTGCAGATGAGTAAGAATCAGTTTAATTATATTCGTAATTATTTTTCTCTTCTACCATTGCATAATCTCAAGCCACATTGAAGATCCAGAATGGTGTCTGTTTTCCTGGTTAATAGTAGAAGTGTTAAAGAGAACAGTGGTTATTCTTTTTTTTTCTCGAAGATGTCAAGTGTGTTTTTATTTAAGAAGTTCCAAAAGAATGAAGATCTTGAAATCAAATTGTCGTATCTCATATCTTCAGATCAAAATGAATAGTAAAAAAAATTGAATTGTCTTGTTTGCTGTTAACTATTTTCTTGGTTACATAAAAAACCCTCTCCTGTTTACAGGCTGTTGGGCTCATCATACTTGATTTGTTGTTAGTAGCACAGAGGATCTCAGCCAGCTGTGTCTTGTACTGCTGGAAAGCCTGCACAAGAAATTATCACCCTTTTTGTGAAGAGCTTCCAGCACTTAAACCTAATTTCAAGTTGTGTGTTCTTGTTTCACCGCTCAGGTTAGGTTATTATTACTTTGCAAAATATTGAGTGTATCAATTCCTCTTGTAATCATTCTTAAGTAGTGAAGAGATACAGTTCCATTGATAGCAATACATTTAAGAATCAAATGCTGAAGCGATTTAAGTTTTGCGCATTGCAGTTTCTCACAGTGGGACAGTCAGCCCTTCCTTAAGAACACTGATGTACACAGTCTGTGGGATTTTTATTGCAGCTGTTATTTAATCTTTCTCCAGTTGTTTGTGTGGCGGAGTTAAAAGAAGACTTTTAAAACCTGCTAGACCATGGTCCTCCGGGACTGGAGTACCACTGACTTAGGTATGCACATGCAGGAATCACATGGACACTTGAGGATTGTGTTGCCCATTACTCCTCTCTCAGGGTCTAGGATATGAACTCTTGGATCCTCAGATACCACACCAGTGGAAGCCCTCTGGCCTTGTGTCGATAAGAGAACCAATGGGGAAGAACAGTCCTCCAGGGCTCAATAAGTATGCAGTGTCTTCTGTGCATTCAGACCATGTGTTTGGAAGAAATGTCAGTGGGGGGTGGGGGGGGATCTTTTGACTTCCTTTCGGGGTGCTGTGGTAAGATCCAATGGAGGAGGCTGATGCAGAGGAAGGTTGACATGAAGAGTGAATCAATTTATGAAGCAAACCAAACCGAATTCTATCTTACTTTTGCTTCCTCTAGATATAAACAATAGAACTAGATCTAGGCAGAATTTCAGAATTTGGGTAAAAGTTAGTCCTTTCTGCATGACCACAAACAAATACAATTTTTTGCTTCATCAGACTTGTTAAGCTTGTTCCTTTTCTTATATGAGAAGTTCTGACCTGCGGAAATGTCTAACAAGCAGGGTCAGAAACAATGAGAATTGTATCACCATATACTACAGATGAAACTTTCTTGCCTTGTTTGGGGTATTCTTATAAAAGTGTTATTAAGCTTCAGTTTGCTAAATGTGAAGAAACAGTGTAAAACTTCTCAGCTGTTCTTGATTAATAGATCTTAGCTTCTTATATCCACCGTTGTCCTGTATTATGATTTGGAAATTTACATTGCCAAGTAATTTTGAGTCTGAATTAGTGAAGGATTGTATTGTGTTGTGCATGTAGCTGAATAGCTGTCTTTCTATTGTTAAATCATTACTTTATTGCTGTAACATCTAGTTGCATGGAATTTGGTTTGAGACACAAAATACAAATATACAACATATACAACATAAAGCCAATAACAGAATGCATCCACCCAATACATTGACAAATGTGTTGTTCACCACTAGTAGGTATCCCCCTGGTACTTCCTCTTATAGCCTGTTTATGCTGGAATGTATAACATGGCAGAAACTGAACCCCAAAACAGTAGAGAATCACAGAGGTTCTGCTTACAAGATGTGTAATGATAAAATAAGGGAAAAATGTGGACAAACTCCCAGTATTGGTAGCTTTTAGTGAGAAAATGAGCAGGTGTACATAAGTATAACATCCACTCCTCTTACTAATGTGTTATTCCCAGAGTGCTATTGATACATAATGTTGTTTCACAGATGTCCTTTCATGTAGTCATTTTAAAATTGATTAACCTTGAAATAGTACACAGAACTGCCTACCCGTTCAAAAACTAAGAGATGGTTATCTGTTCCCTGTACTTATCAATTCCTGGACCATATGGTAGCTATTGAGACAGATGTAATATAGGATAAACAGTATTATCAGATATAAAATATTGTTCTGATCCCTCATTTACCAAGTTCATCTTAGGGCTTATAGGCACAAGCTGCTTTTACTTTGATTTTGTGCTAGTATTTGGATATTTAGAGGTAATTGTTTAGTTTTGAAACACCTGAGTGGATTACTGTGGATAGCGTGTTCTTTCCTTTTGGTCAGGAGAGTTCGAGCGCTGGATTTGCAGAATTCTGAACTTTTGCCCTTTCTCATTATTTCTGCTAATCAGTCTTGCGCAATCTGCCTGACCCATGTGATGCTGTAATTGAGCCTCTGGCCAATTGTCACCCTCCCTGCTCTTTTCTGAACAATATCCGCCATCAGCAGTTTGGTCCCGTTTTCTGCTGATCTGAGCGACATCTGATCCGCTCCTTGAATCAAAAACTGAGGGAGGTGGCCGTTATTGTGAAGCCTGGAGGTACAGTGAGAACTGGATTTTAGACCTTTTGTAGAGTAATAAAAATAAAGAGGCATGTAGCTTTAGACTTCAATGTTTGATACCAGCCCAAAAAAATCCCAACAAACCCACAAATCTTTGAGAACTTGTAGTTTTTATTGTTGTTTGCAATGTTTCATCAGGGATTGTTCTTGTTGCTATGGAGCTGACACATGGGGAATTTGAAGTAAGAATTATACAGTAGGTAGCAGTGTGCTTGGGAATAAATCACTTGTGCCTTGTTCTTTTTTTATCTCTGGCAATTAGATGATTGTAAATTAGTACAGATATCCTACGTTTGTATAAAATCAGGTAAAAAAGGTCTTTCAATGCCAATAACTAGATTTTAGAGATGCAATTTAAAGAGCTCCATCAATCCAATTAATTGTTCTTCTCCTGTGGCTGGTATGTTTAGTGAATAGAGAGGTCAGATTAAATGATCATTTAAGTCTGCTTTTAAAGCCGTGTTTGTTTGAAAAGCATATGGAAGACTGAACCATGTGTGCCAATGAATCTCACCCTTCCTGTGGTGCTCTCTTGTGGGGTTGCTCATTACTTTCTCTGTTTTGTTTCTACCCAGGAAAGAGCGTCCTGTTTCCCTGGGGATTTTCCCGCTGTCTGGGGCAGACCCTCTCCTCACTGCAGACACACGGCAAGGCGGAGCGGAGACCCCTGGAACGGAGAACTGGAGGTTCAATGATCTCAGCCACCCGCGTTCCAACACAAGCCTCAAGGTACGTACTGGGCGTCAGAAGAAGTGGTTGCACTCGAGTTCACAAAGTTCTCTTTAAATCTGGAGGGGGCAACCTGCAGAACTTAAAGCCCTACAATAGTCAAGCACAGCCCCCAGTTAGTCCTCAGTGGCAGCAATCATGGGGACCTATACATCTGGTACAAGGTCATTCAGGATTCCCCAAGCACTGATGCATATGTATCCTAATGTCCCCGGAATTTGATGGGTTGGTCATTATATCTTGCCATGCAAGAGCCACCCCTATGGGATTGCATCTGCGTTTGCAGTATTGTCACAGAGAGGTGCATCTCTCCTCCATCTGATGCATAACTCATCCGTTGGCACTGTGGGGCTCACTGTCTAGCTGGTCCAACAACGTCCTTTTCAGAGGATGTGTAGGTAAGGAAGATCAAATTGACAATTCCAAATATATATGAATGAGGAGGGATCGTTTCTCAATATTGGCATTCTCTGCCTGTCAGTTAGCGTCAGTTGCTGTCATTGTCTGTGACAAGGAGTCTCAAAGTCTCAGATTCCAGTCTCTTTTCCGGTTAGTTTTTTTTTTCTGTCCACTTTTGGGGAAAATCATCAATAGGTGCCTAGTCTTGTGGCTGAAAGTTTCTCACAAACATTTACTTCTAAAGTGGATCCATGTTTTCATGAGTTTTTGTATTAACCATGTTGGTTTTTAGCTGTGAGGCAGTCGCAATACACCCCCAAAAACTTTTAAATGAAGGGGAGGATGCAGAACATTTACATTTTTATTCTGTATTTTCTCCTGTTAGTCATTCCAAGCTGATGAAGCACTCTGTTTTAAAGTTTTGATTTTCACACGGAGACTGCGCTCTGTACATTTTTCAAAGTTAACATTGTTTATCTTTTATAATCTTTGTTTTGTTTTTCTGTTATTTGAAATATAGAGGTGCTTGAAGACTTTCTTGCACCTTATGTGATAAACAGTAAATATTGGGATAATGGATTATCCAAAGTATACAAAATGATTGTGGATTAAAACTGTCCCAGTACAAGAAAACAATGTTGAGCAAGGCCTGAGTTGGTTTTGTCTGTGCTGTTTGTGGGCCATCCTGTAAAATCTGTGAAGAAGGAAACAGAAGAAAAGAAATCCTTGTGGGAATGGTGTGCTCCGAATGGCTAATGAAGCCCCCTTGGATGGGATAGGAGGGTAATTGGGCAAGACGTTCCATTCTGTAAAAACGCCAGCCATTTTCACTCTTGACATGCATGCAAACATCTCCAAAGCCAAGGACACACAGGGCTGTTTTTGTGTGAGGCTCTAATGAATATTCATTTTGCCTTACTGCTCTTTCTGATCAGGCCAGTGGGGTGACACCTTCACAACCTGGAGGGGTTCTAAGGCTTTGCAACTGCCAAAACAGAGAAACATTGTGAACAAGCACTTTACCCGTTTCCTTCTGGCAAGGTCACAAAATTAATAATTTATTGCGACCTACAATGTCAAGTCGATGTGACCTAATCAGCAGCACAGGACGATGCAGACTAAGTAAAAGCAAAAACACAGCTTTTTTTGTAAACTTCTTTAACACCATTTGTTTTAGAGAATGCTTGTGTGCCACAGGAGTATTGGGTACATAATACAATTTATTGTTTCATTACTGTACCAGCTCTGTTACCTTAGGACAATTAATTGCAGTAATTTGTTGACTCATTTTACTTTGCCTTGGTTTACCTGTGTTTATTTTCCTGAATTCTGGAGGTGCAGTTTTGATTTCTTCTCCTGAGCTTTTCCTCTGTCCAGCTGCTCTTGGGACCCATCATAGATATAATGGGCTTCATGTCCTCGAATTATAAATCAAGTGGTGTTTAACACTGATGGGACACTATCAGGCCACTGTTTTCAAATCTCTCACAAGAGCTAGCAAAGTAAGAATTGATATCACAGCATGGGAGGAGTAGTGAAACTCGCTCAGGTGCTAATACTCATTATAGTAACTCCACTCGGTTTTAATCTGGCCTAGGGTGCCTTGTGTGGAGTTTGCACATTTTCCCTGTGTCCTCATACAGTATAGACATGCAAAATGATAAATTGTTGGGCAACAATTCAGATATCTTTTAAGCAACAAGTGCTTGTGTATGGGTTTCCTGAAGTGGGTTGGCATCCCTACCAGGATGTGTCTGTCGTCTGCCAGGTGAAGCTCTAGCTTACTGAAACCCTGTATTAGACTTGGCAGTTATTGAAAATGGGTGGATGGAGTCTACCAAGGTTTTAACACTTGGGTACTCAAGTTAAGCTAAATTATCTTTGGTTTACTATATGACTAAGGAATGTGTTTCTTTTGCGTCATGTAGCTTTTTAAAATTAGCTGATTAACTCTTGTATTTTAAGTGAGTTCCCATTTACATTAAAACTCTCGCCTTCTTTCTTCAGCATGTTTACAGGCATCTAGGGGCTGCAGGTCAGTGTGTGTCTGGAGGTGATAGTTGACCATAGTGGCAAATCCAGAACTGTTCAGACCAAACTGGAGAACTTTTAAGGCAACGATCTAAGTATTGCACATGGGTTGTGCCAGTGGCTTTTAGTAATGATCATGCAAACCCTTGTTTTTCTTTTAATTGTATAAGTAAGTTAGTTTATTTGCCATCAGGGGAAGTATTTTTTTCTCAGCAGAATATTTGCCGAAATGGGTAGTAAGAATTGAGCTGTGATCTGCAAGTGTTAAAATTTGTGAATATCTGCTATTTATTCATGCCCTACCCAAGAGGGAAAAAAAAAACAAGTAGACTTTACTTACACCAACTTTAAACCATTCAGAAATTATGCTGAATATGTAGATGTGACTCAAAAGGAAGCATTAAATAAATTGTGATAACCAACTGCATGTGGCTGGAACACTGTTGAGTGAAGAGAGTATTAATGACACTGTGTGCTTGGAATTTGCAACTAGCACAAACTCCTACCGAAATCAGTGACATAGTTTGTGTTGAAAAAGGAGATCTTTACATGACATTTATAAACACAACATTTTTAGCTAGTTCTTATTAAAAGTGATTCTTCATGTAGTCTCTGTTCGTAAGTTCTGTTTATGAAATCCTGTTTCTACTGTTACAGTATTCAGCCGTTATGGATTATAAGGAAGAAAGTAAGACGGAGCAGAGAGAAGCTTTGTTTTGGATTTCCTGGAAAACAGAGCGATTTGCAGTCCCTGCTGACAAATCCCCCTTGTGTTCTCATTGGAGGAGCAGGGAGAGAGGTCGGGCTGATGCTGCCATGGCAACAGAGGGCAGCGATGATGCCAGACATGTGTTCCGATTTCAGACTGAAATTAAAGCAAGAAAACCGTATTATTATTACTGTATGTATTATTACAGACCTCTTGGAACAGATTTTGTTCTTGCTGCTTTTCTAGCTTTAAGTCCACATGCTGGCCTTTTCTTTTCTAGCTGCTCAGGTTACAGAGGTCTTGGGGGGGTTTTTGTAAAAGTTTTTTTTTTTAATTCTCTTTTGTGAGGTTTCCATTTTCCATGTATAGTCTTAACCAAAACATCTCAAAACATGCAAAAGCTTAACTTTCTGTTTTGGTTAGGATGACAAGGTGAAAAATGAGTAGGTAAGTTTGTAGCACTTTGCCACCAGACTAGTTTTAAATTAAACAGTTGATTTTTCTCAAACTTATGCGATTGGTTCTTGTCCCTGTTACTCTTAAAGCCAGATGGGCTAAAACAACAACCGTAAAATATACCCTTTAGGTTACATTACCATATTTGTGATTTGTGTTCTGTTTCTCTAAAATGCACATCCTATCAATTGTTATTGATAAATCAAGTGAAATGATTTCCCATTTCCAAAATGTGTTTCTATGTGATTGGTTGAAGTGTTGGCTTATATTACTGAATCCTAATAGTCCTGGACATTTAAAGAAATACTTAAACGGAACAAAGTGAAGACCTAGGAATACAAATACATCAGTTTCAAATACGACCCAAAAACTTCCAATGTGTGAGGGAGGAAATCCTGGCTCTGGTATGTTGGACTGTTGCCCTTCTGATAAAGGCCTGATTTCAATAAAACTGTGATATAGGTCAGTTAATGTGCCTTTGTTGCAGCTGTAGCTTGCCGTCTCCAGTCTGAATACCAGAATCACTGCACTTCTGTGCATCTGCTCCTTAAGGTGTAGCTGCATGTTATCCTCCCGTCAGCCTATGGCTGGGCAGCGTTTTGTTCCACCGTCAGGGAACACGAGTGTTAGCGAAGACTGAAGGAAATGGGAATGGTTTCCGATGCCTCTTTCCAGAGAGTTCGAAACCCATGCGCACAAGGATTTCTTTCTTGCCGTTTGCCTTAATTCCCTAGTTATTTCTGCCCAGATTACTGTTACTCTCGTCTTTTGCCTGAGTTATTTTTGTTGTGTAATATGACCTGTGCTCATAACAAGCTGAGAACACCGCTCCGAGGTACATTCATAAATCTCTAGTCAATTGGTTTTTCCACTGGAACGAGAGAAAGGTGTTACATTTGCCAGTAGAGAGTGCTGATGCACGTTATTACAGGTGGTTCGGATTATGAATTAAGAACACTCTAGGGTATAGGACATCACTGTAGTCTCTTGTCCATGGTGACAATTTCATACTTGAATCAGAAATTTAATGAAGAGAACAAGGACTAAAATTATGGGCCACATGTGGCTCTTTTATCAACGAATGGAAGATTAGTACTTCTTTCCAAAATTTATAAAGTAGCTGAACACCTCTGGCAGTTCTGTAGTCCTACTTTGTGTGCATTAATTTTCTTTTGAGTATATGGTCCTGGTATTGTTTATTAGCAGGCACCCCTCACTACAGCGACAGGCATACACTGACAGTATTGCAATCCAGTTTTATAGCAAATACCTTAGATGGAATTTGGTGTCGTAGATCAGTATTACTGCTTTAATTTAGTGGTGTCTTCTCGTACCAAATCAATTTTTTTTTCCACAGCAACACCCTTTATCAGCTCAGTAGTACAGATACAATACAGATACCCCAGCTTTGCTGTGTCTTGTCAGTACTTTATAAAATGCAGTTCATTGTAATTCTCTTCCCAAGCAGTTGGAGGCGGAAGGGGTGCTAAAGGAAAGGGATGGTAAGAGGTCACAGGAAGCTTGGGGGAATTCGCTGGCACCTGAGCGCAAGGTAGTTGGCCTGAGTAGTTCATAGGTTGGCGGTAACCCAGTAACACGTGTGGTGTGGCCTTTAGCTGTTCCTCCTGTGTTGTTGAGTGGCTTTGTGCTTCCAAAGCCCACAGTGCACACAGTGCAGTCAGTCTGCATGCAACCCTTTAGGCAAAGAGACCTGGCTTCTGGCTTCTGCCTTGTTCCTCACCACTAAACTTAGTGGACTTTAAGGAAACAATACTGAAAGAGCTTTCCTTGAATCCGGAATGCAATTGCCTTTCATTCCCGGCTGAATTAATAGCATGATTCTGCTGTTGGTGATGGAAATGAAGATCTTGATGCTCCACAATGCTAGAAGAACGGGTTGCATGCAGGCCATGTCCTGTCTGGGTGGCCACGTTGCATGGGACTTCACTCGCAGTGTGTGGTGGGGCTTTTGCATTGTCGTGTTAAGCACTGCAATCCAGGTAGACACCATTTTATAGCCACTAATATAGACAGCTTTCACTTCTGTGTTCTAGAGGGACTAGCCCTGCATTAGCACCATAGATTTGTTTGTTTTTTTTGAAATGCATAGCTGTAACTGTCTGCAAAATAGAACTGCCACTTCTCACTGGATCACGGTGTGTTGAATGGATTCTTGTTT